GCGAGGCGATTCTTTCAGCCTTAACCAAGACGCCCGGTCTTCTATCGCTATTTCGCCTGTGGTCTTTTACAGCTCGAATTTAATATTCTAAAGAGCACTATATGACGAACTGAACATAATAACACGTTCATTATTGGTGTCTATGTTCGGAAACTAAAATATTTTGTTACGCGGAGAGAACTCTATAATAAATATTATAGAGTTCTGTAAGAATTCGCTCTAAAAACGCATTCACACCTTGACAGAAAAGCAGAAGCCAATCAGAACTTGTGCTGGCGATCAAATGATAGTTGACTAGTTTCTACTTTTCTACCAGCGCGAGTTCTGATTGGCATCTGCCTTTTCTGTTTTGCTGTCAGGGTATGAATTCTCCCTAAGAAAAATCGATCGTGACTGCTCAATTTCCTTACTGTTTTTCTTTGTGTCGCGGCCTTGAACTCACGCGAGCGACGAAACAGTCAAATCGAAAGCATCTCGTGCTCCCGCACGTCGCAACGCCGACGTGCTCATTGCCGGCAGTAATCCTCCCGTCACGATATCACCCTCGCGAGTGGGCGGTGGCGTTTATGTCACGGCGAGCGGATTATGTCTCACGCGACGAACCCGCGTGAAAACGAGTGGGTCGCTGCTGCCGACGACGACGACGACGACGACGACGACAGGCGAGCCGCCGTCAATGAGATATCCACGTGCTAATGAAACACGACAACCGGCGCAAAGTCATGTCCGATCACATGGCGTGGTGCGCCACGGGCGCGCCGGTTACGGCACGGTGACGGCGGCATGGACGTTCCGGCAAGAGAGTAACGACCGGTTCTCCGCACTTGACCGCCGGATGCCAAAATGCGGATGGAAGGAAGGATAGAATTACCGATGACGTCGATGGCACGCGCAAGCGATCATAGACTTATAGAATAGATCACGCACGGGACGGCTGACGACAAGATTGAAGGATAGAGATATGCGCCAAGTCAAATGCTTTCTCTGTCATCCGGCACTCCGAGAGGGGGCGATGTGGTTGAAACAAAAGAGAGAGTGAAACATAGTGGAAGGAAGAGAGGACGCATTGGTCTCTTCTCCTCCTTCGATCTCGCCACCAATTTGATATAATCAGACAAGAAAAGCATCTCTATGGCTCATTCTCTTACATTAAGAGAAAAAATATCTAAGGAATAAAAAAGTACTTATTTGCGGTTAATAACATACTTGCATTAATATAAAATATTTGTCAAATAAAGAAATATTTATTGTAATTAAATATTTGTCAAAGAAAGAAAAAAATTGTCTTAAAACCCCTTAGCTTCTCATGAAAGCGATTGAAATAAAATAATTTAAATGAATATGTTACCAGTATTCACCAAATAAATATTTTTTATTTTTCAGATATTTTTTCTTTCAGTTACTAATGCTAATTTTCCCCTTTCCATATTCTAGTCTATACCTCGATGTTACTGATAATTATTTTCACTTGTTAAGACAATAAAGAATTTATGTTTGTGACTCGCGAAATGCTTATTAACATAAATACGTAAATGACCGAAAAAATATTGGAATTTTTTTTATGAGAATATAAGGACGAGAAATTAATTGTTCCACCATAATTTATCTATACTTTCTGACTGGAAAAGTATTTATGTCTAAAAAAAGATTATGATAATTTGTTGAAATTTTGCAATTTCATTTTTATTTATTTTTTTATTTAAATTTTACTTTTCCTTCACTTTGTCCATTTATATTTATAAAGACCCAAAAGTTAAGTTTAGTTAAGAAATTCTTGTCATGTCGTAAGTATTCCCCGAGAAGTATAACTCGTCCATTCAGATGATTCAAGGCTCATCGTAATTCGATTCGAGACATGCGAGCACTCTTTGTCTGTTTTTCTGCCGTCAGCGCTGCAGAAAAATCACCGGTTCGTTGGCGTATCTCATTAGCACGAATACTCATTGACGAGTTCGTTACACCGTTCATTCACTGTCTGTGCAGGTCGCTCGCCTCTCGCTTCGCAAACACAAATACCGCCGACGCTGCCGGCAGCAAACGTCGGGAAATCTTCGAGTGTGCACCGAGGTTGCTGCTAATTGCGAATCCCGGTGAACTCTCGGGAGTCGCTCGCTAGTAATTCATACAAGGGTTGTGAGTAAAGG